GATTGACGACTTGATTTCCGTGTACATAGAGTGTGTTGTTTTGGCTAAAAATATTAAAATATCAATAAAAGCAATGCTTTTTTCCCTTTATTATTGCAACGGTAATCGTAGGCAACGTACTTCATAGACAACGAAAATAAGTGTAAAGTATAGAATTAAAAAATAGTTTTTGTTAATCTGAAATATATAGGACGGCGTCCTATGTATAAGGAATAAATGTCAGATGTACCGGTCGTTCGCTAAGATATTAATACAAGTGTCTCCTTTCATGGGCTACTTCAAGTTTTAGGCACATCTCATACTCCACTGGTTGGTAAACGCACAGTATGTAGCCTCTGTGTAAAAGGCAGTTAAAAACCACGCTGTAATCAAGGAACCAAACTACATTTAAAGTTCGCTTTCCAATTAAATTTCAATCCAGAAAACCCGGCTTGTCTGTCGGTATTTTATCAAAACTATATATGAGCGAAAGGAGAAATTAGTCCCATTTTGTTGTCATTCTCAAAAGAAACTGATTAAAAAATACTTTCCATATGGTGATTCGTCGTGGTTACGAAGTAAACAAGCCCCGTTTCGATTTCTTGGACAGCGTTTTGACGCTGAAAAAGTATCGCTTAGGAAAACGAAACTGCACTTTGTCACTTGGTCACCACCACCAAGCGAAAAGGCGAAAAGCAAACATTTCTCTATTCAGCCATGATAAGAAAAGTGTATTCGATACAATTTATATGTCTTTGATTAAATTTATTTTTTAAACATATTTATTGCCAATAAAATTGAACAGCCTTCTTCCGTCATGCATTTACAATTAAATGTCAACAATGATAATAGGTATAAACATGAAATAGATATATATATATATATAATTTTCACACAGGTACAATTACACAACTTTAAAAAAGCACCGTTTGAAAGATTTAGCTGGATTCGATGAAGTGATGCACATGTCTAAAAACGTAAGAATTAAGGTCCACCGAAAGATCTGAACTGCCAATCAAAAGAAGCTCTAAATTTAAATCGATACCTAATGCATTCAAATTTTGAAATAAAATACGCCTTTCATTGCTCAAAAGATGACACTCAAAAAAAATGAAAGGCATTCTCACATGGATGTCCACAGATGCAAAATGGACCCTCGACAAGATTAAATCTGTAATGGTCATAATTAAGGGAACTACAATTGTGCCTCAGTTTAGTATGTATGATATTTAAATTACGTTCTCCAAAACATAAGTAGATAGGAGGGGATGGTTGTACATTCGAAGTAAGAGAGTTTTCAAAAGAATGTATAGAAGGCAACGATGGTACTGATAGATCTATCGAGTTTGCGCTACGATGAGTGGAAGGTATAAAGG